CCACCATCATCATCAGGAGTCGTCGATGCAACCGCAACCAACGCAATCGACGCCCACGTTGCTACAGCAGAACGGTTCTGATTAGGATTCAATAGGACCGTTTGGCTAGAATGGTACGTTCTTGTATGTTGATGTTAAGCGATGATTAATTTGTTACCTTTGCCCACTGAGGGCTGAGCAGATTAGTCCTTTGGCTGCGAATACCTGTATCATAATCAGTCAATGATAGACCTGGTTATAAACTCGCATTAATTCGCAAACGTATGTCGCAAATGTGGTTATTTAGCTAATTATCTTGAGAAAACATCTTAGGAGATTTGAGATTGAACTTTTCTAGAGATACTGACATCTGCAAAATTATCGCCTTCATGTCATACATTCACGTATATAAAACTCAAAAGTTTATAACGTTTTCAATATACTCTTCAACCAACAAGAAAACATGCTATAATTCAGAATTGATTTGATTTTTCTTAAAATATGTCGTTAGGGCTCGTACCTACTGAAGTTGATCGCGTCAATTAATGTACTGACTTCTTCTATTTTTTTGTAAAGAAGAAGAAGACACCAGTATGTTGATCGACACAATCGGCTTCAGTGGAGAAAAGCCTTTAAATATAAAAATTTAGGCGATACGTTTATTATTATATTTTGATATTTAAAGGATGATCTCCTCAAAGCTAACGCTTTTATGGGATTCTAAGTTACTGTTGAAATAGTAAAATAAAAAAATATTTTAGATAAAATTTTTGTGACTTTTTATATAATTTATGACTATTTATTAAAAATATTTATATTTTCCAAAATTAAAATATTTTTAAAAATATCATAATATATCTTGTTTTGAAATAAATTATAAAGTAACTTTATCATGTATGGATGTGACTTTGGTATAAAATTGCCTTTCATCTTAATTTATAGAAAAAGTTTAATTTTTTAATAATAATAGTAATAATAAAAGTAATAATAGAACAAATAAAGATCTGTTGAAAAATATAAGATAGTTTATTCTTGGATAATTTAATTCTTGAATAGATTATTTTTGAATAATTTATAACAATAGAATGCTATCGATAATAAATTTTACGTATCGAGATATTGAGTGCTAAGCTATACCTTCCATAGTCATCAGGATGCTCACTCTGCCACTAAAAGCTAAGACAAACGGGAACAAGCGTTTAAAAATTCAATCCGTTTTATATCAGTTTAGACTCCTTAATGTGATCGCTGTTATAATCTTATAATAAAGTATGATGAATGATTTCAATTTTTAAGCAGTTTTGTGTTATAATATGTTTTATTGATAAGTGTTATGAGGGAATGTTAGATTACACACTCTCCCCCAAATTTTCAAGATTGAATTTAGTAGTGCGCTTGTTCTTTTTTCTTTTGAATTAATAATTAGGTTATTTGTGTTTATGAAGATCTATTTTTTTTATCATCAAAAGTGTGAAACGTTTCAAAATCGTTTGTTACATTAATTAAGAGTGGCCTATATTTTCTTGTACGTATATGTATCAATAATAATACTGTTATCGTTCAATGTCGATAGCGTTCTAGGATTAATCCTGTTAGATTTTAGTACTTAACAATATATTTCAAAGGAAATTAAATCAATTATGATGTATTTTACTTACAAAAAATATATCATAAAAACAATACGTACAATAGCTAGAATACAACTAAAACTGAGGGATCCGTCACTCTGCCGTGGATCTTGGATATTTTGAGAAAACAGTTTAACGTGCCGCAGCCAAAGGGTTAATCGCACGATAGTTAATTAAGAGACCCCTCCGTGAAGTTTTTCATCGCACGGGGGTATATAGATTTACACGCGCGCGATTCAACACGAGACACTATCCTTCACAAGACTGACTTTTACCAACCGACTCGCAGCTCTCCGCAGGGTATACTCTCGATGTAACATTCGAGCTTTGCTCAATCCACGCTTAAGCGCCATTAACTGCTCTCCGCTCGTTTCTGTGCTTGCCACTTGGGTTTTGTTGCTGTGTCTTTCCTCCGTCGGTGGTTAGACCGCGTGAGATTTTTACCGCTGTCAAGAAAAATACTCAAGAGCTCTTTGTCGGATGTCGTTCATATAGTTTGATTCCCGATGAACATAATTTGGAAATTGATTCTTAGCAAGTATTTATTCGACAGATTTATTTTTCAAAAAACATCTCTTTAAGTGAAGATAAAAATTGTTTTTCGAAAATATCTCTTTAAGAAGGTAAAATTAAAAGTGAAATTTTCGTTCATCAAAATTGAATCTTGGTAACAAAATTTTCGAGCGTATGTTCCGCCTTTTACATTCAGGCTTGTTCAGTCAGACTCGTTGACGATACGTCGCATCGTCTTGTTTTAATGTCTTCCGCAATCATCGATTCTTTCTTGAGACGCGAATTGAAGATTGTCGGATCTTTTCGCGAGAATGAAATGGCATCGAAAACATTGCGACGCGATCGCGAGACAACTTTCAGCGCCACTGCTATGTAATAGTTCCTGCTGCAAAAGTGATCATGTACCAAATAGTATTTGCTAATGGCTGAACAAAGTACGATGCTACGATGGGACTTGCGATCGCACGTTCCGTTAATATAATGGGCGTCTTGAACAAAAAATGACGATTATGTTTATGATAGATAAAGAATGAGGTGAGATGGAACGAAACTTTTTTTAGTGGTGAGATATATGATGACTAATTAATGATGGCATATCGAGAAGCTCATTTCAAACCGTTGACTCAAAGGGAAAAAGGAAAAAAAATATACGTAATAGTCGAAAAAATTACACAAAATATAGGTGAAATACAAATATCACATTGAATGTTTCATTATAAAATTACTAAATTAAATATAATGTCCTTTCTTATTATTGCAACATGAATTGTTAGTTAATTTGCAACTTTAGTTATATTTATTATATAATAAAATATAAATACAGCTGATTATTAATATTATATTTAAATTAAGTTAACTTTTAATTTTAAAATAATGATAAATGAAGAATCTTGAACAATTGAAGAAACATTCTTTTCAGTACTTGACAAATGAAATTTAACATTTGACAAATTATTTTAAGGACGTTTAATCTAAAAATAATATCAAAAATATATAAAAATTTACAAAAATATATAAAAATATATAAAAAGTTATTATTTTGGCTAATAACCCTTCTATTTTATTTGTACTGAGTAAAATTTGAATACAATTCTCTTATTGTTTAAAAATTATTTAATTTTTTCATTTATTTAATTTTTAAAATTAATTCTTAAAATTTTATAATATTTATTTTGCAAATATTTGAAATATTTAAGAAAATAATATTAAGAATTAAATCAAATTTTATACATAATTAAATTTTATACTGATCAAACAATAATAAATTCGTGTAAAAGCCTATTTCGATCTACTTATTCGTTTAAAAGTTATTATCTAAAACTGCAGAAAAATATAATTATTTTGCTGTATAAAAGACAAATGATTTGTCATTTTGTTTTGTGCAATTGGTTTCAAAATGTATTCGCGAACTAATACGAGTATCATTAAAAGTTTTTGAATAATAATTGGCTAATATTAACTTTTCTTTTGGCTGATTATTTAACTTATACTTTTAACTAATATTGTATAGCCAAAACATTCTTAAATTAAGTTATGTGATTATGTATGATTCAATCTATTTTATATTTTAGATTTAATTATAATAATTATTTAATTATGATTCGAAATTTTTCAGAATTGAATTCAAAATTAACGAACATTATACACTATTGTAATGCATGATAAATTTTTTTATCCTTTCGACTAAATTTTCTCAATTAAAGTCCTTTTAGTTTAGTGTTTAATTTTAATTTTACTTTGTAGTTTGGATTTAGTTCATAATTTAGTGATTTTTTAAGTTAGCTTTTAATTTAAAATAATTTATAATAAAATACATTTTTATGCGATCATGGATACGGTTTTTAAATGAAGCTTCTCGAATGTAATTGAATAAGGTGACGAAAATATCATTGACACGAAAGCAAGCATCATTTTCGCGCGAGTCGTCCGCGTTTTTTCATGTCGAATAAAAAACAATCTTGTCGAATTGCGACAGTCGTGGATGATGTAGTAACAGTGACAACTTGCCAAGATTTCCCATTTGCCAATCCCCCGAGAATCTTACCTGTTGTCAGCATGCTCCGATGTGTATAATTTTTAGGTCTAATTTACTTACTCGGTAGTGATATTATTTACAGAATAGTCCGTAAATAATATTTTTAATTGTTGACCGTTTTATTCCGTTCGCTTCTTTCTGTTCGAGTTTCCCGCGATACGTTTTGAAATATCCGACAACACGAGCAAAATGAAAAAATCGCGCGATCTGTCGAGACGCGAACAAAACTATCTTTGGTTTGACTCATTACGAACGGATAATTCGACGAGAAACGAGGCAAGCACGCGCAATCGCCGATTTTGGCTAGTACCGAAACGCGAAATGCAATTCAAGGGAAATTAAGGATCGACAGCGGTATAATTTCGGAGAGTTCAATTCTCAATCACACGAAAGAGATGTGAAAAAAGCGTTCGCGCGGTGTCTGCGAAGAAATTCACCGAAATCATACTGATCTGAATATCCGAAAAGCAAGAAAAGAGAGAGAAAGAATATAAATACGTGACAAACGTTGAATATACTTTTAATCGTAGACCACAATTTCACAACAATATTTCGACAACCAGACGGAAGCGCAGGGTAACTAACACATCAGGGATAGCCACAGACAAATCTACGATAGATAAAGAAAATGCTACATATTAAATTGTAAAGGTAATGGTAAATGATTACTTAGGTAATTATTAAAGTTATAATAACGATATGATTATTTCGTTAAAGAGATTAAGAAAGAAAGAGGAGGAAGTTGAAGAAAAGAGAGACAAAAAGTGAATGAATGACAGAAATAAGAATCATATGATAGAATCCGTTATGTCACATTCTTTACTACTCCTAGAGAGAAACAGGATAAGATATATTATGAGAAAATAATAATAATAAAGTAACGAATAATAATAATAATAGCGATTTAAGTAGAGCATAAACGACAGACGG